CCGAAAAGAAAATTGAAGCGATCAAACTTATGCCCCGACCGCAAAATATTCAGGAACTAGAAGCATTTATTGGAAAGATAAATTATTATAACAAGTTTGTGGGAAACTTCGCAAGTATTGCCGCCCCTTTAAACATCTTGAGAAGGAAACACAACCACTTTAAATGGTCTTCGAGTCAAGAAACCGCTTTTCAATCTCTGAAACTGGCAATCATCAAAGCTACGCAGCTGGTCCATTACGATGACCGGTCAACCTATAATACTGGCTGTAGATGCCTCAAAGCATGGCATTGGTGCTGTGATATCACATCGCTATTCCGATGGTTCGGAAAACCCAATTGCACATGCGTCTAAAACCCTCAACACCAGTCAATTGCGATACTCCCAAGTAGAGAAGGAAGCATTAGCCATTATATATGGGGTAACTAAATTTCATCAATATCTTTACGGAAGAAAGTTTGAACTCCTCACGGACCATCAAGCGTTAACGACATTATTTCATCCATGTAAAATACTGCCAGTGATGACGCTACATCGCCTTCAACGTTGGGCGATTTTACTACAGTCCTACAAATATACAATACGTTACAGAAAGTCTAACGAAAATGCCAACGCGGATGCGCTTTCCAGATTGCCAGCGGGAAACGATCCGGAATTCGATGAGGAGGAAAGTAGCTGGGAAAATATCGATACCGCTTATTAGATCACAGTAGAAGGGTTTCCGCTGAATGCTGAAATCGTCAAGGAGTATACGAAGAAAGATGAAACACTTAAACGCATTTGCAATTATGTTAGAGACGGTTGGCCCGTCAACATTTCGAAATCTGAAGGTAAACTCCTACCATATATTAATCGCAAGTTTTCGTTATCCTTACAGAGTGATGTACTACTCCTTCACACTGAGCATACAAGAGTAGTAATCCCAAGCGCCTTACGGAATAAGGTACTGGCAATGCTGCATGAGGGTCATTGGGGAAAAAGTCGAATTAAGCAAATGGCAAGGCGTTACGTATGGTTCCCTGGCATCGACAAGGACATAGAACGTATTCACGACAATTGCGCTAGACAAATGGGAGGCAACCCAAACGGGAATTTTCGACTTGGCCCGAACCTATGACACCGTGGGAAAGAGTCCATGTGGATTTTGCGGGATCATTTTTTAATCGAATGTGGCTGCTTCTGGTGGATGCTTATTCAAAATTCCCGTACATCTTGGAAGTTGCATCCACATCATCAATATCAACAATCGCAACACTACAACGTATTTTCTCAATTGAGGGACTGCCTTGCACTATCGTCTCGGACAATGGACCCCAATTCACGGCACACGAATTTGAAAGTTTCTGCAAGCTAAATAATATCCAGCACCTCACCACTCCTCCGTTCCATCCAGCATCCAACGGCCTTGCAGAGAGAAATGTGCGAACATTCAAAGAAGCGTTCAGCAAAATAATGAAAGAGGAACAACAAGTGGAGCGAGCGCTCTATAAATATCTCACGACATATCGAACGACCCCGAATCCCTTGACGGGTAAATCACCGGCTGAGCTGTTGCATGGACGACAGCCACGAACCGTACTGTCGACTTTGTTCCCCGTAGTCAATGAGGAAATATGTAACCCGAAACCAACGAAATTCAAAAGTGGAGAACAAGTCTTTGCGCGAAATTATTCTGGAGCCCGACGATGGGTCGAGGCCAAAGTACTGAAGTGTGAGGGAAATAAGCTATATGTCTTGCAGACCCCTACTGGTTGGATCCGCCGGCATCAAAACCAGCTGAGAGGTAACAAACTAAATGAGTCGTCAGAACAAGTCGATGTTGACATTGATTTGGAACCTGCGGACTCCTTATCGAGAAAAAATAGTACACAAGTGCCTCGCGATGAACCACCTCATCACTCAACTGCGCAGACGCCGCCTAATAACGAGCAGACATATCGTCAGTTACCGAAAACCAGTACCAATTCACCATTAACGCCGCTCAGACGTTCGCAAAGAATAAGAAAGAAACCTGTTAAATTAAATCTTTAAAAAAATATATATTAATTTTGTAATATATACAGAAAATTAAGCCCAGGGGAATGTAAGAAGTGTAAAACCTTCTGGCAACCCTATTTAGGAACTTCCATTGTAAATCAACGTGGCAGCACTTGGGTAACCTTTTTGACTTTCAAGTCATTCCATTGCTTTTGCTGCAAATAGCTACCACGCGGGTTTACAAGTCGTTCCATTAGACAAATTAATCTTAAGGAATCTGCTGTAACTTGAATTGCATTTATTGAATAAACTGTTCCGTAAATTGTTTCTTAAGTTAACTTTAGGAGGGTTGCCTCCTGTTTAAAAAATAAATTTCAATTTGATGACTCGGGTTTAATCCGACCAAGGGCTATTGTTTCGGCGATCTAACCCCGTTTAGGTCGGGGAAATATCTCAGACGTTGCTCGTCCATAGGGCTACATCTACTACGTATTCTTCTGCTCAGGGCTGGCATCGAGTCAAACCCAGGGCCAGAAACTTACACCTGCTGTGTTAGAACACACATCCCTCACACCCGCATAACAAAACGTCTCCTTAACCACAATTCACCTGTAAACGACTTCAGAGCAAGATCGAGGACATAACCGTCTTCAATGGAAGGCATGAAATCTTGATAGCAGCGGTCCAAGAGAGGAAGGTGCACAACAGTTAAACATTGTTGAATTGCGCCGGATACAATGTGCAACGTGGAGATTGCGAGCGAGATAATGGTGGTGGCCTAGCGTTCATCACACACCACAACATGCAGGATCGCCTCATCGAAGCAGACATCGACCGCAGGGATACCTTCCTAGAATGTCAGGGCGCTGCTATCCGGTCAGGCGATGTCGAGCTCGAAATATTTAACGTTTATATACCCCCTGTCACCCCCTGTGCCCGCAGAATATCACCCTGAAATAGGTGCGTTCCTCAGAGGTGAAAGCCGTATGGTAGTTGGCGATTTAAATGCGCACCATGATCTTTGGCATTGAAGCCTGTCAAATGATCGTAGGGGAACAGACATGGCTGACCAGATAGACGATTCGTCATTATGCACAATGAACGACGGCGCACCCAACAGGATTATGGGCAGCATCTGCAGCTCGCCAGACATAACAATAGTTTGCGCTGGTCTGATAAACAGCATATAATAGCGACCTATGCTGACCTTGGCATCAGACCATCTGCCAATAGTCACCTCGATCGTAAACTTGCCGACTTTTCTTCCGCAGAACACCGGACCCATATCAACATTACCAAAGCTGAAAGGCTTCGCGGAAACTGTTTACTGAAATCACCTTCTCTGCCCTCCCCAACCAAACGACGTTCACCTTGGTGAACGTATGTTCCGCAGGGTTGTCCCTTCTGCTACAGCTCGCTTCGTACCAGCAGGATGTATAACGGACCAACGTCCAAACTTTCATGCTGAGGCGGTTGTTCTAGCCGATGAGCGTGACAACCTTCGTCAGACCGATCCCGGAAATCCCGGTATCAGGGATCTCAACACGGAGATTCGGCAGCTTGTGAACGTACATAAGTGGAAAAAGTGGGAAAAGCATCTGAAAACTTGGGTCCCGTGGGAGTAGACTATTTAGCCAAGGCCACTCTAGTCATTCCAGACATCTGGAAGATGGGGAGAGTGGTCCCACTGCTCAAACCGGGGAAACCAGCCAACAAAGAGTGTCTTACAACAGCTCTTAACGCCATGAACACGCAGATAACACGTGGCCTAAACCGCAACTGTCCCTGTGAGAGAACCCTTCTATTAGCGTTGGGCCTGTCAAAGGCGTTTAATACCGTCAGCCACTCCACGCTTCTAGAAGACATAGAGGCCTCCTCTCTCCCACAGAGACTCAAACGGTGGAGAGCGAAGAGTGATAGACACTCGTCAGTAATGTTTAGAGACAATTCGAGCACACCTAGAAAAATAAAACAGCGTTTTCTACAGGGCGGTGTCCTTTCCCCATTACTGTTTAACTATTGAATATCCAAGCTCCCTGAACCACCACAGGGAGTCTAGATTTTCTCTTACGCTGATGATTTCTGATGTCTGGGAATAAAATTGATGACTTGTGCTCGAAAGTAAACGGGTATCTCTCCGAGCTTTCTCGCTTCTTCACTGCAAAGTGCCTAGCCGTCTCCCCTACGAAATCCTATGCCACCTTGCTACCGTCTGGACGAAGGAGTTCAGGCTACCGATGATACACCAATTCCGACGGTGAATAACCCAAATATACTCAGAGTAACTTTCGAAAGTCTGCTCTCCTTCTCCGCGCACACAACCGCAATTGTCAACAAAGTACAGACTACTACAAAGTAGAAAACTACAAAAAAGTGCAACAAATTTTCACCTAAATTTTAAACTTCTTTCTCGGCAGTGTTTGAATTTTTCTGAATACACAGTTTTATAGCCCAATCAATTTTAGTCTGATAATGTGCAAGTTTCAAGTGGCTAAAAGTTACCGTTGATTTTTTAGAATTTTTTTTGCCAAAGGTGTTGCGGTTTTCTTCCATATACAAATAAATTGAGTTTATTCATTATATGGAAGCCAATGCGTCAAAAAAAAATTCTAAAAAATGAACGGTAATTCGTAGCGACTTGAAATTTGCACATAATCAGACTAAAATTGCAGGGGCTAAAAAACTGTGTACTCAAAAAAATTCTAACACTTCCGGGAAAAAGGTTTCAAATTTAGGTGAAAATTTGTTACACTTTTTTGTAGTTTTCTACAAATTGTTGAACTTGAGTATATATGGGGTTTGTCTGAGAATGAACTAAATTTTAATTGAAAATTCTTAAAAATAAGTAAATGAACATAAGGGGCACACAATATCACTTGGAAGTAGCGTGTTATAGATATGACCGATACTGTATACTTATATTAAACTGTTTATGTTAATACTATGCGTACATACATAAGTACATAACAGGATTAATATTAACAATGTATACATTTTTTAACAGTAAAGCAATTTGCTGCATAATATAGTTACTTTCAATTATATCAAATTTATTTCCATATTTATGAGATACGTTGAATACATTTACGTAAATTTAGATGGTTACTAACATCTACTGCGAAACTATTGGACTCTTTTTATCAATTTCAGAAATATTAGTATTATTTTGTTGTACTGAAGCATTTCCAGGACTAGATGGTATATTTCCTGTTCGGTCAATATTCCATGGATTAGATCCCGATATTGGAGAGTCTGCGTGACCAAAACCAGAATGATTTTCATGCTCAACTGCATTAGTTCCATCATATTGAGTATTTTCCAATCTCGTAATTAATCTTTCGTCTTCCTCACCAAACTCACCACCCATTAAAGTTGGTTCACCTACTACCATTACGTCTTGCGAGGACAAGGAGAAATTGGGTCCGGAAGGAGACCGCTTTTGATTAGTTACCGGAGGCGTTCCCGCGTTCGAAGCTCCACCTGAGTTAGATCCCTTTCGTTTACGCCTTTTATTAGCTGGTCTTTGTGGGTCCTTTTTTCCTGGTGGAGCAACCATCCGTTGCCATTTTTGAAACAATGTAGTTTTCAAGCAATCACGGGGACTAAGGGCGTAAGCTTTATGCCGAGACATCAGTTCTTGCATCGGCTCAAGTATAACGCATAGTCGTAAATAATTCAATGTGGAATTGGTGATGCCCGCTCTTGTAATGTTTTTTGTTATTTGATCCAATAACATCGGATCTGGTGGTATCGAAGTGCCTATTACCGATCTTGGAATAAGTTCTCTATGACCTTTAATTGTCATGTGCCAAGATCTTATACGCATATAATCATCATAAACAAACTCTAATATAAGTCTTGCATCGGCACACACTTTGGTAAAAAACGGCTTACCATGTTGCGTTATTACTGTGCATTGATCACAGTCTAAAGTTATTGTTGTATTATGAAATGATTCTTTTGCATGTTTAAGTTGAAAATATAAATCGGACACTCCTCCTTCGTAAATACTGCGAAAAAACCGTGGTATCAAAGTTCTCCCTATTGTATATCTTTTCGGACCGTCCTCTAAACAAAATAATATGGTTAATCTTGCATCATCCTCAAAAAACTCGGTTGTAAACGAGTCCCACCAGCAGTTATCACTATCATCTGTGCGTTGTTGGAGCCGCTTATTCAATTCAAAAACACGATGCTCGGTATGACTGAAATAAGAATTATGTCTTCTAAATCCGTGCTCCATACGTTCTATTTGCTGAGCTCCTGCCATCATTGGATGACTGGATGTATGATTAAATGGGGAAGCCGTTGGTAATGCGCTGAATTGTCCGCTTACACCGAAAACTGCTTGTGATGTAAAGTGGTTTCCCTGAGAAGAATTGAATGATGCTCCTGAACTTGATGGTCTGTTAAATTGCCCTAGACCTGAAGAGGGTGAACCAAACGGACCTCCGACTGGGCCATTAAACGATGCTGAGTTCGAAGATTGATTATAAGATCCAGTTATACTTTGTTGTACAACAGGTCCAGGTGTCGAAGAGCCAGATGGGGCAGGCGAAGACGTGTACTGAGGAGTATTAGATCCGGGAGGATTTGTATTTTGGAAAATGATTGATTGATTGCCAGCAGGAGAAGACTGACCCCCTTGTGGATATTGACTGTTAGTTGTGTTGTAAGCAATGTTATTCTGAGGGAACCCACTTTGATTGGATCCATCAGAATTCAACGTAGAATTGTTTGAGTTATTTAGAAGCGTTGAATTCTCGGCAACGCCCAGGTTTTTCCAACTACTTTCGTCCATTGCTGCTTGGGATGTCATTGTAGGTACGGTATTATTTCCTCGACGATTCATTCCTAGCGTTTTCTTGTTTTCACTGAAGGCATTTGAAATCTAAAAAACAAAAGAAAACGTTTTATAAAACTCCCGATGACTTCTTAATTTGTAAACATAAGCCATTAATGAGTAACGAAAGTATATACTTAATACTAGCAAATGTTTGGTACACGACTTCAATGCCCCCATTCTCAGTAATGAGTGCACACCCACTTAAGTTAACGTCTATTTGAAAAGTGGCATTACGAAAAGACCTCGTGTTTAATATTACGGATGTGACGTGACTACAGATGGACGCGTGAGTAATTTTGGCCAGGTCAATGATCACGCACTCACGTTTTTTTAATCATACACGTTCATGCACGCTTTTCCATCGACATTTTTTTAAATTGAAACTTTATTATTGGGGCAAAATTCGTCAAGTGTATCAGGAGAAACAATTTATAGCAGCATTTTGTTCAAACTCCACTAGGGTGTTGCTCTGATTACTGGTAACCAAAGTGTAAACTACTTTTTCTACCGGGTTTCGTTTAAGTGTTCACATGTTATTTGCAGACATTTGAATAAACGTTCAAAAATCACTATCAATGTTACATCTCCCAATAGTTGAACTTTGCACAAGCAATATTTAATGATCGATATACCCACAGTACCTTTAAATGCAAAGTGCCCTTCCTAATGCTAATTAGCTCTTTTTGCTCGTTTGTTGTTCGTTCGGTGGTTTACTTCCAATATAAATTTTCGCGACAAAGTTTAAAGAATATAAAAATGTGTGTTTATGGTATTTTAATTACCCCTAGAAAATGCCAAAGAGAAAGTATAAATTCCTTCCTGCTTTCACAGAAGAGTTGTCACTTGTTTATATTTTTTGACGTTATAAGTAGTACTTTAAAAGAGAGCCTCACTGAGTTGTTCATCACACCTTGTTTAAAACACCTAGGCCAAACCTAGTCACAAATCTAATCTAGATAGATTTTTTCTCTCGCTCAATATACAAAAGTTCATACGTTAAAAATTACGTGTACGTACTTTTACAATTATATTAAGGAAAAGTCCGAAGTTTTGAAACAAATTCAAATCAACGAAAAATATTAATGATCTTTTAATGTTATCTTGTACTTACATTTTTTTTTCATAAAACCAAGTGTACTTGTAAGTACAGCGCCTTACCAAACTATTAGCTCAGAGAATTTTTCATCTGATCTTTTAGACAAATGTTGAAAATGTAGCTTTGTAGCCAATTAATAAAGTGCAAGTCTAAAGATGCTAGAAAATCGCGTTGAGTTTTAGCAATTTTGTTTTGCTGACAGTCTCTTCCATACAAAAAGAATTGTAGAACATAGTTTGTATGGAAGAAATTAAGAAATTGTATTTATATATTTTTTGACATAGTATAAACTGTAGTTTTATAAAAAATTAAAATAAAAAAATGGTGCATGCATTGTGAAAAATTCTCTCAGCTTTTTATGTTTTTGTTTTTGTCTTGTCAAAATAATATTTTACTACATACTTTCGTACGTAAGTAATTTTTGTCTAAAGGAAAGGGGGCAGGGGGTTGGTGTTGTTGTGTTAGATTAACCAAAGTGTCCCGGTTTGGCAACGGAGATATCATGTCACACTTATGATAGAGAATCAAAAATTAGGGATGAGCGATTAATCAATTAATCAAACAGTCAGTCAATAAAGTTTAGGTACAACGAATTTTTTACAATACCGGCAACTATTTTTTAAATATTTTATTTTCGCAAATTTTTTATAAAAATGAGGTTAATTCTATAACAAAACCCCCAAATATTGCAATTTTTATTTACACTTTAGAAAAAAGTTGAGCACGCAGTTTTTTAGCCCATTTAATTTTAGTATAACAAAGTGCAAGTTTGAGGTAGCTAGGACTTACAATTGATTTTTAGCAATTTTTTTGTTGAGGGTGTCGCCCATTTTCTCCATATAAAATAATTTTCGATAGTTTTTTATATGGAAAAAATGTGCGACACCTGCAACAAAAAAGTCCTTGGTTCCTCATACTTGTACAGGGTGGCGCCGAATGAGCATTATGGTTTAAATGGTTTATAACTTTTTTATTTATGCGATTATTATATATATATTTTTTCAATACAGTATATTATTGGGGAATTTTTTGCAATTAGCTTTGAAAAATGATATCCTGTAAGTGATGTCCATTTTCTGCTTCGCACATACGTGCTCTTTTTAGCATACTTTCCATAACTTTTCGCAGAATTTCGGGTGTAATGGCCATGATTTCATTTCGAATGTTGGTTTGGAGTTGGAGAATGGTTCTTGGTTTGTTAACGTACTCTTTCTTTCAAATATCCCCAAAGAAAACTGTCAGGAGCTGTTAAATCTGGTGAACATGGAGGCCAGTTAAAATCGCTTGTGCGCGAAATAAT